CCCCAAAACCCCAAAACCCCAAAACCCCAAAACCCCGAATGACAATTTAAAAGTTGAATAAATATAATAATGGAACCAACTCCTGAAACTGAGCCCCCAAAAATCACCAAAATAATCTATGAGAACGCAGAGTACATCGGCGAGGTCAAGAATGGCAAACGCCATGGCAAGGGCAAGATCACCTTCAGTGACGGCCGCGAGTACGAAGGTCTGTGGGAGGACGACCTCCGCATTGGCTATGGAGTTAAGAAATATTTGAATGGCGATCACTACGTAGGCAGCTTTTCCATGGGCAAAGCTCATGGTAAAGGCATCTATACGTGGCAAAACAGCGATATTTATGACGGCGAGTGGAAAAACGGAGTCAAAGAAGGAAACGGCATGTGGAAAGGGATCAATAACGAGTCATATATCGGCGAATGGAAAAACTCCAAAGCCGATGGCTATGGTGTCCAGGTCTGGGCTAGTGGAGACCGGTACGAAGGCGAGTGGACTCAAGGCCTTCGTAATGGGAATGGAACCATGATTTTTGCAAATGGAGATATGTATATTGGTGATCATGTTAAAGGGAAAATGCATGGAGAAGGCCAATATATTTGGAGAAATGGTAGCATATATATTGGACAGTTTAAAAACGGGTTCAAGCATGGGAAAGGTAAGTTAATACTGAAGCTCATTCTGTATTATTTATACTTTCATCCTCAAACTTATACCTTATTTAGGAAAGTGGAAGTAAGGATAAAAATGATCAAGAGTGTAATCAGTATGATGGAGAATACGAAAATGATGTCAAAAATGGATTTGGGGGGTATAAATGGAAGTCAGGAAATGAGTACAAAGGTATCAAATATCAAAATATTAAATCAACTTCTTCATAGGCCGATACAAAGACAATTTAAGACACGGCTATGGTGAAATGTTCTGGACTGATGGGTCAGTATACAAAGGAATGTGGCATAAAGGAATTCAACATGGCAAAGGAAGAATGGAGTTTCCGGATGGTAACTTCAAAGAAGGAATCTTTCAAAATAATATCTTCCAAGGTCAGATCTACAACAGATTAAACCTCTATCAGCATCAGCCAATGAAGAATTCAAATCATTCTTCTCTAGATCGACTTGCGAATTCAACAGCTGTGACTTTTAACTCAACCAAGAACAAATAAATATGGAGGGAGGTAAGATAAGACTTAAGAATCTGATCTAAAAACTATACAATTTTACTATAAATCTTATTTAAAACTTAATGCTAAATTATTTAATTAAGAAAAGCATCCTAAATTCTTCAAGAAGTTACCAAAAAGTAGCAAGATTTTATTTCCAGCGTCTAAATCATTAGAACCATGACTTTACTTTCAAACTAATCTGCTTTCAGATAATCCCTAAACAGCTTCTTCACACTCCTATAGTTCAAACAAAGTATTATCAAAATGTGCTCGAAACCCTTCATCTGCGCAAGGATTTGTTGAAAAACATCAGAGAGCACCTCATTCAAGCATAAAAATATAACAAAAAACTTCAAAGCAGGTAACTCTCCCAAATTTTCCTAAAAAATTAACAATTCTTACAGACTTTGGAAGAAAATATAACACAAATTACAGACATCGAGAAGTTCCAGAAAGAATTCAGCTGATCTCTGAGCAAAACTTAAGCAATGGATCCTCTAGCCTCTGCAGAGAAAGACTCTCAATTGAGGAAAACAAGTTTAACACCTATTACGGGGGCAACTTCCTTCAGAATAGCCATGCTCGCAAACAAGCAGCATCGAGCATATCGACCAAAAGAAACAGAGTTAACCGGACAGTTACTCAATCTTCTGATCCTAACTCTCAAGCGAAGAGAGTCTTTAGCTTGCGGAAATAAAACAAAATCTAGTAAGAGAAAGTACAGGAAGGGCTTCATCGAGCAAAACCTTAACAAATCTAAGAACTCTTATGCTACAAGCAAAATCACCAATGTCATTGCCAAAAGTTATAGAAAAAGATCCAAAGATGCACCTGTAAGTGATTTTGATGCTGAAATGGTTGTTTCATGTACCAAATCTGATGCATTAACTACAGCCTGGGTCCAAAAGAGACGAAAAGATCATAAACAACCTCTCAAAAGTACTCCATTCCACTCAGATGAGGATGCGTCAAAACAAGGATAAGAAGGTACGCTCTCTCTAATTTCTAGTCTCTGCAATCCTTGATTTCACTGCAGCGCAAAAGACAAATGGAGAATTCTCTGCAGAGCTCCCAAAATGGTTAACGAAATTTCATAAATTATTCCTCGGTTCAATTTACTATCTTAAAAATGGGGTTTTGGGGTTTTGGGGTTTTGGGGTTTTGGGG